CAGGGTTCAGGGTTCAGAGTTCAGGGTTTAGGGTACCCTGTTTTTTTTTGTTTTTGTGGAAGTGCTTACGCGACTTGCCACTCTTCAGGTACTGGGCTTCCGGTATAGAAGCCGTGACCACATAGGGCACGGGCCTCTCTGTCCTTGGGGCTTAGGGTTTGGTTGTTTTTTCTCCTTCTCTCTATCTCTCTCTCTCTCTCTCTCTGTCTTTGTCTCTCTCTCTCTCTCTCTTTCTCTCTCCCTCTTCTCTCTCTCTCTCTCTACCTCCCACATTGGGGAACTTCTGATTGCATTTGTGGCGGTGGTTGGGGTGGTTTGGTAGGTTGGTTCCTTGCAGAGAGCACTCGAAAGTTTCAGCATTCTTCTACTCCCTGCAGCATGTTGAGACTCGCAGTTCAGCAGGGTTTCGCCCTTTGAGACCAGCAAGTACCATTAGGATGGATGTGCTAAAGCCCGACACCAACTGCTGGCTGGTTCTTAGTACGGAATGAGGGAATGAGGTACCGTATATCCCCCTATACCCTGTGCACCCTGAACCCTAAACCCCAAACCCCAAGCCCCAAACCACGCCCGTTTGTGCGAAGCATCCTGACGCGAGGCGGCGAGCCCGTCGACAAGAAGCCAAAGGAGGGCGCCGTGGGCTTAGGATTGTTGGGCATGTGGAGGCTTAGGGTTTACGGTTTACGGTTTAGGGTTTATAGGGTTTATAGGGTTTATAGGGTTTATAGGGTTTATAGGGTTTATAGGGTTTATAGGGTTTATAGGGTTTATAGGGTCTATAGGGTTGATAGGGTTTACAGGGTTTATAGGGTTTATAGGGTTTATAGGGTTTATAGGGTTTATAGGGTTTATAGGGTTTATAGGGTTTAGGGTTTATAGGGTTTGGCTTTTTTTGGGCTTAGGGTTTGTAGGGCTTCGGGTTTCACAGGGCTTAGGGTTTATGGGGTTTAGGGTTTATAGGGCTTAGGGTTTCTTGGGCTTAGTTTTTAGGGTTTAGGGTTTAGGGTTTAGGGTTTAGGGTTTAGGGTTTAGGGTTTAGGGTCTCCATGGCACCCAAGCCTCAGGGAGTCTGCACAGTCTGGTCTTTGGGCCCATGTTCAGAGTCTTCAGAACCCGAAACACGAAACCCTAAACCCTAAACCCTAAACCCTGAGGGTTCATGGACCTAAACTGGGAGTACTTGGGCCTTAAAGTATTTCCTCTAGAAGGACTTTGGGGCCCAAGTATATGACCTAGTAGTAGAGTAGGTAACTTTTAAACTTTTTGGGGTAGCATAATCCCTTTCTAATCCCAGAGGTAAAACCTTGAATTCTAGCAGGTTCGACCCTCAGGGTTACAGACCGTGGGACGTGGGACTACATGAACCTGGAAACTTCACACCAAAACGATGTACGGCCCCGCCACGCCACAGCCGGTAATATGGCGTCATTCATAGGGTTTAGGGTTTAGGGTTTAGGGTTTAGGGTTTAGGGTTTAGGGTTTAGGGTTTAGGGTTTAGGACTGACAAGCTACCTCAGGTTGTTGGTGGCATCCCGCCTCCGCGCAATGAGTTCGTGATGACTCCCCAGGAGCCTTCTCCCGACTCTCGGCGACAGAGCCCCATAACTTGGCAGCTCGGGTTTAGGGTTTAGGGTTTAGGGTTTGGGATTTAGGGCTTAGGGCTTAGGGTTTGGGTTTTTGGGTTCGAGGTACCCCCAAGTGGAAGTACACTGGGCGGGTATTCACACTGCCCGAAGCCTTTTTGAGCGCGCGCTGAACCCAAACTACATTCTGTCATCCGCAGGAAGTATGTTTGGTTCTTGTTCCTACAAACTCCCATGCGAAAACTACACATATTTGTTTGTTCTAAACCTCGAACCTACCGAACAAAAAAAAACAAGCAAAACATGTTCAGCGGCAACTTCTTTATGAGAGGCATCCCGTGCAATCGCAAGGTCTGGGCTTGTCCTCTTCTATAGAAGCCGTGTTAAGCCGCAGGGTTTCGGCATTTCGGGGTTTAAAGGTTTTAAGGCTTCAAGATTTTAGGGTGTACTTATGCTTGTTACCGGTGTATGTTGTATGTACGTATGCGTATATATATATACACACATACATTAGTACTCATACGAATATGTGCTTTGAGAACCCTTGCAAGCCGTAACGCCTGGGCGAAAGGAGGGTTCCACTTACATGTCGGGAGATGGGAGTTGTGCAGCTGCAAAACTACCCCAAAACCCCTAAACCCTGAACGCCCTATGCAAGCTTCAGGACGAGTACCCTGCCAAGTTCACAGGGATGTTCTGCTTCGCACTCATTGCCGCCGCCTCTGTAAACTCGAAACCCCACGATCCCGTGCCCACACCCTAACCCCAAACCCGTAAAAACACAATCCGCTTCCTTAATCCCTACACCCCAAACCCTCAACTGCAAAAACTGAACCTCAACCCTAAACCCTAGACCCTGCACGCAAAGTCAGAATTTTGGGATTGAGAGTTGGGCACATGGGAATGCACAGGACTCG